TCAGGCCACGTGTACCACCATATTTCTAACAATATTACCACAAGTGGTACACAATGTAATAGCTACTTTAAACAAGAGAACTACTTATCGACTGACGATGTAATGAAAGATTGTGTGATAATATATCAAATGGCCTGAACGACAAGAAAAGGCAAAAATAGCTTGGCACGGAACGTGTTAATACTTGACAATAACAGTTTCGTTATTTTACAAACGGGTTAGCAACATTCCGAAGTAACTTGAAAATAATGTGTGTATGGCTGAGAATTTGTTTAAAACGCCTAGCGCTTTGATAGGCTGCTGGCTTGGAACATCATCAGCGTAAATAAGCCGGATAATCCTGCACGTCGTCTGGCCGGCGCTTTCTTTCGTCGCCTTATCTTCTTGCGCCGTAAATCTCGTGGGGGAAGAAGGGAACTTACGTATGCGGGACGAGGCGGTGTTTCCGTTGGCCCTCTGTCCAGCTCACGTCTCGCTATCGTTCGAAACTTCGCCATTGCAAACGCGGTTCAATGTTAGAAAGCGGTGCACTCGAGCGCGAGTTTCTCCGCCAGGAACTATAGGGACTCGTGGAACTTCTCTTCGGTAGAGTCCGGTTCTGACTCGAGTCAGATGGTTCCCCGTTACACACACACACACATATATATGCACACGGCCAACAACGACCGACAATAATCGCCAGGCGAGTGCAAACATTGTGCATGCATGCACAGGTTGGACAATGCCAACGCGAGGAACAACGGCTCGTCGAATTCGTCAAAGCAAATGCCCGGGGCGGCGGTTAGAGATTCTAAATAGTTAAGCCGATGCTGATCGAAACCTGCAGCACCCAGGATTTGATGGGTGGATATCGGACTCGATAACTCGTAACTGCAGCTGCAGATTATGTCGCGTGGAGCTCGCAGCACGCCGCGAACTCCGGCCAAATAGATAGATCGGTAGCGTGCGTAAACGATTGCGTCCCCGCGTTTGTTGATCCTGTCGTGGACTTATCATCCGAAAGTGTAGCCCGGGATTCGCGAATCGCCTGGAAGTTTGCCTAATCCGGTGTGTGTGTAATCGGTTGTAACCGATTTGACGGATCGTTTCGATGCTAATAAGAGGGTGTTTGCTCGATCAGATTTTTTTTTGTTGAGCGCTTGCTTTGGAACCGTTTGGAATGTACTGAAATTCGTAAGTTCCCGATCGCGACTGTTCCTTTTTTATTTATTCTACCGTAAAATTATCGATTCGCACTTTTGCTGGAAAATTGTGAAAAATAAATTATATGATAATAAATGGCAGGAACATTGAATTTCATTTTAGAGTTGTACATCGATCTGTCTGATTTACTTCAAGATAGATACAAACATTGGCAATTGAAATTTCCAAACACATCGACATTCTGG